TTACAAGCAATAAGTGTTAAAGACACTAGAAGCAACTTCCCCTGAATACTAAGCAGCCCTGGTGCATTTGGCAAAAAATCTAATAGACTGACTGATGTTCGAGGTTAATTATCTCAACATAAAAGCTACCGGGGATATAATGTCCAATTCTATCTCTGTCAGAATCAGTTTCACCCTGCTAAACTCTAGAATATACAGGGGATATATTAATATTTCAGCAACCTGGGACAACCCTGAAACTTGTGACACCACGAGTACTATTATTAAAAGCGACTTGTGTAAACACTGGATGTATGGTTTAGACACCAAAAGTACTTGTTTGGGTTTGGGTACTAAAGATCTTGGTTATGGTTAGGAAAACATCGTCGTTTGGGGTTAGGTCACAGATTTTGGTGTTACACCGGCTAAGCACACAAATGTGTCATAATTAATACGTTAATATGGCTGAACAACGAAGAAGGATTTCCTCGAATAAGTATAACTGACTGTTATCTGCTCGCTAGCTTTCACTATGTGTTAAGTTAGCCGAGCTAGCGTTAATGAGAACCTAAAAGTTGGCTTCGTGGGGCTAACGTTACCAAATAACGTAGCCACCGATGTGGGACATTAATATATTATTTATAAGACACTCTGTACGCGTGTAAGGTCAGTTAAATACACTTACAAGCTACAAAGAACTAAACTTTGAAAATCAGGCAGTCAGCTAGGTAACGTAAAGCCAACTGGGCGACACTCCTCGCTAACAGCTTCGGCTAGCAAACTTGGTCCACTCGAGGTCTTAACGCCGCTGAGGCTACGAGCGCTGCAAAACTAGTTGCAATTCACCTCGATCATCGGCCATCTGTTTTTAATGAAGCGCGACTCTTACCTTTAACATGTAGCCGTCGGAGTAAATAACTCAAAACACAAAGCTGTTGGGAGTAATCCGCAGTTATTCACAATAAATTGGCTAACAAGTGATCAGCTACGGTCCCCATTGTAACAAGGGTACCGCCATTATGGAAAACGTCAGTGACCGATAGCAGACGTCATTACGTAGGACGTCTGACAAACGTATGTTGTTGTGGTTAAATTTCGGGTTTTACCACAGACTGTCTATGTATATTTACCCGTGCAGTCAATGGTTTTACCTTTCCTCTTCTAAATTAGTTTGTTCAGTGCTTTGCTATTCCTGTACTGGAAAATGTTTAATATGAAATACGTATGAAGAATTATTGTTTAATTTAAAGTATGCTGAAAATGTGTTATCTCCGTTAATATCCACTAGAGAGAGACAAAGTATTACTGGTGGACCTGGGCAGCAAGGACTGGATTTTCGACCCTTGCAGTCTATGATTTGAACAGATGACTCAATAGAAAAATCACTATTGTCTATAAAAAAACATTCTTTTGAACTAACCGTCAAAATGCTAAGCACAAGCAAGCAAGCAAGCAAGCAAACAAACAAACAAACACGAACACCATTTCCACATTACTATTCTATGAGTAGTTGGATTGTGTCACATGTCATGAGCAAATAGGCCTAGAAAAATATCATTGTTAAAATGTGAGTGAGAAAGAGTGAGATTAGAAGCAGCAGCACTCAAAAAAAAAAAAAATATATATATAAATCACCCAAATGTTTGTTTTAAATTAGAGAGATCTATTTTTTCAAACCAAGTTGGATAATTTAGGAAACCATTTATTGACTTATTGTGTTGTTTGTTAAAAGGGGCAGCCGATTTCTTTGAATACTTAAATATATGGAAGCAATTTATCTTTATCTTTTGAGGGTCATGGCCTACAAAATACATTTTTATCGATATAAATTTAAGAAAGCAGCCTTTCTAATCACTTTGAGCCCCGTAATGCAAGGTGCTGGAACAGATGAGAATGAGACTGAAATGATACAATACGTTTTTTTCATTTTCATTTGTGTCATTACGAACATCTGGCAAATTTGACTGAGAGTTTAACTTAAAAGAAATACATTCGTATATATAAGATTTACACAAGGATATTGGTATGAAGTACAGAAAACTACTGGAGTAGTATCTTTTGCAGAGCATGTTAGCAATACAGTGCAATAATCTTAAGAAAAATGATTGTGAATTATGGTAAATAAGAGAAATATCATTGGCTAAAACTAAAGTCATTTTTCACTCTTTTAGACTTGATATATACAAGAGCTCGTGGTAATCATAACCACCTTCGTTTGCTTTTAATGTTACAGGGTTACAGAGCAGACTACATCTATAAGTAACATCTTGTGCCCTCTTCATTTCCCCTCCCACCCTCACTTCTGAAAGCCAGCAGTGAATCATTTACTTCGTCCAAATTAAAATTTGGAATCTGTATGCATTATATATTCACCCGTGCTCGGACAAATCCTCTTTACTTGAAATTGTCAGGATGTGTCCTGTAGAAAAGTAAGAGCCTTGTCTAGTTGTATTGCCCGTAGCAAGGGAGCATCTCAATCTGTCACTCAAGTCCACACACACACACGCACACGCACACACACACACGCACACACACACCACAGTAAATCAGCTTATGAATAATATATAATTGTACTTTCTTTATTAATATTAAACATTGCATAATGAAGCGCCGACCATAAGCAAATCCCAGAGCAATATTCATATTACCATGAGCTGTCCTGGAGTGGACCTTTCATTGTTTATTTCAGTCCTGTTGTGGTTAAACACATCAAAATGTCTGCTTTGACCACACTTAACCGCAAGTACACAAAATGCTTTTTTTTGTATATGTTCAGTTCCGTATTTCCTATTATATGTTGGTCTATTTTAAGATATTAATGCACTTTTCGCTATTCTTTAGAGCATAAACAGATGGGAGAGACATGAAAAATGGAAAATAAAAGGATGTGACAAAGGTTGTGACCCAGAATCAAAGCCAGTTAAGTTGCATGTACTTCTGTCCGCTGATGTGCAAGAGCTTCCATACTTAAGCTTCATCCTTGGGCTCATTTTTATGATTTAACATAAATTATAACTGCCTGGAATCCACTTAAAATCCCGGGTCATTTTGGAATAGAGCTAAAATGGCAACATAATGTCTCTTGTTACTTGGACAAAACTTTCACTTCAGCACATCCTCATCTCTTGTGTTGGTATTGCCCTGCAGTGTGCTCGGGTATCTCCACTTCAGAGATGGCACTTACCACGCGAGATGCATGTCTCCTTAGAGGCAACACTTTGGACTTAAAACCTTTCCTGTGTCCACAAGCAGGGTATTTGTGGTATATTGGCCCTGTGCAACCTAGCTTAAACTGCCTTTGCCCAGTGCCAGCGGATACAAGCTATAATGGAGACATTGATGTATTATTGAGAAACCCATGGGTAAGGATCAAGGAGATGCTCGCAGCCAGCAGGGATGGCAAGGGAGTGTGTGAACTCAGGATAATGTTTTCCTTCAGCGTCCTATGTGTCCACGACTGCTGTTGCTCTTTTGGCCTGATGCGAAAAAGGAGACATTTCATGTAATATCACATACCGAATTCATGCGCTCCAGTCAAAGCAATATGCTTGACAACATGCTCGGGCTATCTGTGAAAGATAGCTGTTGTTCTGTTTCGTTTCAGTGTGGAGTCTGCTGAGGTTATGTCTACTTGAGCCAGAGCTGAGATGACATTTCATTTATATAAATAATTACTGTCCTGAAAGTCCCCTAGGCCTGCCCTGAAGCAATCAAACTTCTAATGCTCTTAAAATTGCCCAGCATGTTTTATTAATGGCGGACTATAAAATGCATTGCTATAGCTGCACACTTCTCTGCTGATCCACGAGGAAATAGTGTCAACTATAAATGCCCGTATTACAATTTATGTTTTTATTCAACAGTGCATTTTGACCAAATCATAGCACCGCACAGGTTTGAATTGGAGAGCAAGGTTAAAAAAAAGATACAAGAAAAATAAAAAATAAAAGAAACTTGAGTGTGTCCTTAGCTGAGCACTTATCTGTGCATATGCTGATCTAAGTGAATACAGGCAGTTATGAAAGATTGCCCATTAATGCCATTAATTGCCTCTGAGTGAACCTGATCTGCTCTTTATGATTCTGAATTGCAGAAATGACAAATTAAGGAGTCTTCATTCTAAAAATAAGAATAAAGTATGGTAAAGCTGTGTTAAAGTATCACCTCTTAAACAGGTTTGCAATGTCCCCTGACTGTGCCAACAGAGGGTACTGTTGCCTCACAACATGTTTCAAATGGTCCCAACAACAAAGATGCAGCCTGCTGCCCCCCCCTTTCAATGTGAGGAAAGAGGTGTGTTTTATATTGATCTTGTGCAGTAGCTTTGTTTTGGTCATTTACAAAGCCCAGAGTGCCACAATAAAATAAAAGTATGAATCATCTAAATAAAAGGTGACCTTTGAACCCAGATTGACCGATACGGTTGATTTAATCTGAATTAATCTGAATCTGAGGTGTAGGTGGTCCTGCTATTCAAGCCAATTTAAAACCTTTTGGTTTGCCGGCGAAATTCCAGCTGGCGTTATATTAAAGGAAAAATATGAGTAACAGTCTCTAAACTGATTAAGATTGGAAACAGGGAGTGTGGGAAAAGGAAATACATGATAATATTAGGACATCATGGTGTTCTGGATGTAATGAGCATTAAAGCCGATAAATGTTCAGGTAAGGGAAGGGGCTCTGGGTGGTAACTTCATTGCTTCAAAAGGCAGACCTTGTGACACTGCCTTTGAAATGAGTAACGACTGATTAGCGATAATTACTTATTGTATGGAGACCAGCGCTGAGCTCCGGGGAGCTACCGCTAGTTGCGTCCAGTGTCCGTGTGTTGTCCGCCGCCTTCACACGTCTTGTTGTGTCTGACGCGCAAATGTCACGGGCACACTTGAATAACTTGAATCCCATCCCACGCCATGGAGGCAACCCCAACCACACACACCCACACCCACACTCACACTCACACTCACGCACACAAAAAACGCAGGCTGCATACAGTCTGCGCGCACACAAATGCGGGGTCCTCCCAGAGCCTCTTTCGTCGTGTGAGTCAACAAGAAGTAGCCTCGACACTGTAGGAAACTAGGAAACATTGGACCTCTGCTTGTCGGACGAGAAGGAGGAGGAGGTGTCTTGTCTGCCCGCCTGCTCTCTCTCTCTCTCTCTCTCTCTCTCTCTCTCTCTCAATCAACGAGGCTTCTGCCACCAGAGCCAAGAGTTGCCGTTCCGCGCACCGATGCCAAAACGCGCAGGAGGAGTCAGTGCCAAAGGGTCATTTTAGCGCACCACTGCTGAAATGGAAGGACTGTAGGGAATCCTAGAATAAACAGCAGTCATTTGACCCCAGATGATATAATCATATCATTAAAATTAAGAAAAGGGAAACGGGAAAGGAGCCAAATAAGAGCCAGTACCCATTATCGGTGGAGTGCTCCGTGCTAAATCTGTCGCCGCAGAGGTGGGCAGTAGCGGGATTTTTATCTGAAAAAGGTCATTGCAAAGCATACCTTCCTCCGCACAAATCAGCTCAAAACTACACTTTGGCTTCCTCAATCCAGGTGCTTCCTCCGGAGACGCTGCAGGACTTTGTGGACAAACTGGTCTTCCATCCTTATTACGCTCCTGTCCGACTCCTCACCTTCCGAGCGCGCATCAAAGTTGCAGCTGAAGACTGTGAATAGTAGAGGGATTAGGAGAGGGCAAAGTTGGTCACCTGCGATCCAGAGAGCACCGACACCACGGTCCAAGCCGACTCCAAGTGCCGTTCACCGGGCGATGCCAGAGTAAATGCCGGGGCAATGTCCCGCCGCAAGCAGGTGAACCCGCAGCACTTATCGTTGACGCACAGGGAGACAATACAAGGTGAGTTTAAGAATTCTCAGTTCATGTATGATTAAGTTTACGCTACTACATTTATTTTCGTGGGAAAATAAGAGTATTTATTTGAAAATAGTTTTGATTCAAATCGTGTCCACCTACTGTTTTTTCTTCTGAAATCCCCCCCGAACAAGCAACAATTAGCGACAATAACTGTGATTTCTGAACATAAATGTACCATATGATAACACTTTGTGTACACACAAGGTCAACAATGTAGCCAACTATGTTTAGAATTTGAGTAAATATAAATATTGTTTTACACCTTTAAACAATTCAGTAACATTTAAAAAACGCCTTTTTGCAGCTTCAAATGAGTTTACTAGGTGATCTAATGACAACTGCGTTGGGACTGTCTGGCTGTGTGTGTGTGTGTGTGTGTGTGTGTGTGTGTGTGTGAGAGAGAGTGAGAGAAAGAGGGAGTTTGTGTTTGTTTGCATGTGCACGCACGTGCGTCACGCGTGTGTGAGCGTGTAATGTAACATTTCATCACAACACAATTTAGCATTTTCTCCAGCATATTGCAACATGTGGCAATGTGTATATTCACGTAGCCTATACTTTGTTACACATTTCACTGATTTCTAAATATAAAGGTATTTATTTATTTTGTGGTATCGCACGAGGTGACTTGTATCTTAATTTAAAAGTAGGCTTTTTAAAGAAATTTTAATAGGCCTAATCTCTTTCTCTTCCGCTCTCTCTCCATCACACACACACACACACACACACACACACACACACACACACACACACACACACACACACACACACACACACACACACAGAAAAAGAGAGCGAGAGAGAGTCTCAAAATGATTTGTCTTGTCACATAAAGGCCTATCTGCACTTTAAGGTAGCATTTGAACAACACAACAAAAATGAAAGTGTTCGCAAGAATAAATTCCGTTAGCAATCACACAAAAAAAGAAAACAGCACACACGAGTTAACAACAATCTGAACTTTATTAATACGATAATTTAAAACGAAGGCTCATAACTTGTTTAAAGCTTTTCGGAGCAAAAATTGAGTGATGAAATTGCGCAGATTAAATCAGAGGCAGGAATTGTTTTTATGTGAGCACATGATTAAAAAGTCGCATAATCCAATTTCAAATCAATTATATCAATCTAACCTTCATCTCCAAGCGCTCTGCTTTGCCTAAATCCAATTTCATAGAGGCCTTAATCTGGGTAATTCATTGCAGAAGTTCATGATGTAATCTTTGGCCAATCACTTTTGTGTTGAAAAGAGTTAGGCGCATTCCGTCCCACCCGACACATAGACGAATCATTTATCCCATTCACTTTGTATCGCTATCTGTCTGTCTCTCATGCCACCGACTTTCCTCTATGTTGAGGTTGCAGTTGAAATAATTACGGTAATTTAAAATGCAAAGAGCAATCTGAAATCTAAATGTTTGCTACAAGCAGTGTTTTTGTTGTCCATTTGAGGAAGTAGGCTATGGTGCACCCTCAACAGATTTTAGGCAGATGACAAATATCGATCCAGCTCGAATATTGATCAGTTGACAGTTTATTCTCTCTGCCGTTACCGTCTGCCAGTTAATTAAGGTGGAGACCGAGTTGATCCCCTACAATACATTTTCCACTGTGCAAAAAAACGTAACTACCTATTCACCCCAGGCATAGGTCTGTGTGTGTGTGTGTGTGTGTGTTTATCATTTTTACCTGACTGAATTATGACAAAAAATTACAACATTTTGCATATTTGTCCTTGAGGAACAACAAATTTGGACTACTTGTTAAATATTTGCCTCCGCTCCTTCCAGCCATGGTCAGGTCACTTTGTTTGACATCTTTTGCATGTTAGCTGTACAAAACCTCAAAGCACCCGCTGCACAGTCAGCAAATTCTAAAAACTGAACCTGTGGTGTTGAATGTATACTTGCATAATTAGACTGATAATTAGCCTACAATTTCTGAATTTCCTTATCAGAGCTGAAGCTGCCATTCAGATGTCTCCAGGATTCATCTGTTCTTGCCTGAAGCTTTTAATGACTGGTTTCAGAGATCATTTTAATCATTGCTGACCTCTCTGCACACACTTGCAAGTGTCAAACAACAACTTAACTTGACATATTCGCAAATGCTGCCAAATGCTTTATGTTTGACTCCACCAGGCAGAGGTCAATGCTGTGCTAAAGTGGCTATTAGAGCAAGTGAAGTAGGATGCTGAAAAGCTGGGCCATCTGGGCCTGAATCTCGTCCTACCTGTTCTTTCACATGATACACACTGTATCCTGTGCAGTAGTGAAAATGACCTGCGAGGCATAAGTGTACAAGTGCAAGATTAAGAAATTATTGGACCTGCAGGTATTCTTTTGTTTGTTTTTATTGTGATGCTATGAAAGAGGTCAAGCGATACCAAAACTGAACTTCAGACAGATGAGCAAAAAAAATAAAAAAATAAAGCAGCAATTGCATTATTATTTATATCCAATTGTCCTCTCTCTGCCAGAACAATGGGTGTCTGTGTGTGAGTATGTACACAGATGCACTTGAATTTACATAAAGCGCCTGAGCTGGGTTTACCATACGTACAGGATATCTTAATAATGACACCACATCTCTAGCTGTGATGGATGGAGGGCTTTTAATGTACCTATCATTCAATGTCTGGAGGCTGGATGTCGCTGTGGGCTGTTTCCTTAAGCTGGGTGGGTCTATGGAGGAGCAGGATCACACCTCAGGCTGAAGGATCTGAGGAGCGCTGGGTGAAAACCAAACTGTAATTTGATTGAGTCAATATATAGGGCTTTGCATATGTACAGCGTTATTGTAGGAGAACGTTTCAGATATTGGGTTTTAAAAAAACAAGCAGGCTTTATTGTTTATTTTTAATACATTTAATATGACCGTGTCAATTGGTTGGCCTGGTCCCGAAGTTGTATAACATTTCAGCGTCACCTGTGAAGAACAGTCACAAGGTATCTCCTTACAAAAGTAATAATATGAAGTTTCTGCAGGGTGCCAGTATAGATCAACCACATGTCAGATCAGGGGTGATTCAGTGTAACTGAACGCAGCCATGTGCCTTGCAGCCATGGGCTAATAGGTCACACTCTACTTGGAAGTACAGAGAACCTGATTATCAGCATATTTCTGGACAGGCTTTTAGTGGAAGACTATGTACTGGAAATCTACTTGCCAGGCCAGACATCAAGACAAGGACATACAAGTGACTGTAACTGCAATGAATGTACACAATGCACAAGTATGCTCCAAGGAAAGTTGTCACGCAAACACACACACACACACACACACACACACACACACACACTGTAAAACAACACATATCACTCACAAAAGAGATGACTACATATACAAACTGTACATGTTCACACACTTACAAATCACATGTAAGAAGCTATTCTGTCTGTTGAAGATTAATTTGACCTTCAGTTTACAGTTACACATCGTTTGTTTAATTAAAACTCTTGCAGGCAAAAACGAAAACATCCCCTCTAGGCTTTATTAGGCTCTTTCAGTCAATGATTCAGTCACATCCATGACAAAGAAACCTATCACAGGAATATCCTTATGAATGACTAACACATTAATGTGGAACGGCCGGTGTTTGGTACCACAGGCCTCCCTTGTTCAGGGACTTTGCAATCTAATATCAGGATTATTACAGAGAATTGTTGTCTGGATCCAGCCATGGAAGCGCCTTGCGGTAACTGTTTACTCTGTTTGGCATGCTACTTGTGAAACAGTTAATGTTTTCGTCTTTATTCGCACCATATGGCTGTCAAATGCTGGGGGAGAAAACCCACCGTACGCACTGCAACGCCACAGTAAATATTCACACACATTGTGGTAACCGGATGATAATCTCACAGGAGATGATTGGGGAGCGATTTATGATTTACTGTCAGGCACTGAGGTTTGTTCTCAGATTGTCTTTCTATATTTCAATATTATTGAACACATTTAATCAATTTTGCAACGCTATAAAGCTTTTTTTATTTTTATTATTATATCTCTTAAAATTGTTTGGCAAATTTGATTTATATCTCCAAATGTCATGCCTTGTATCGCGCAAGGCATTTATAGTAATTTAGTGACAAGTCACAGTCAGCTGCAGAGCCGTATTTTGCTCACTTTCAGGCTGATAATCCAAGATTTATGATAAGAAATGAGACTGCTGCAGATTAAATGGTGATAAGATAATGAAACACACAGGCCTGACCTTACACAACACACACTGTTGCAGCTCTCTTTGGCAATTGCAGCCGAGAAAAAGGGATAGGCTAAGCGAGGCCGCTTGTTGTTTGAATTTTTGATTGCAACCATCTGCAATGTTGCTGCTGTCATTTATTTTCAATGACAGCGTGAATCTTATCCGACTTTCCCTGTGGGGTTTACATGTGTGTGTGTGTGTGTGTGAGTGTGCATGTGTTTTGAGCTCAGCAAATGGAATTGGAAAACAAAGAAAGGGAGACAGGTCTGAACCCACACAGTATGGTCGACTGTCATATGAGTGCCCCTGGCTTTACTCTTCCTTTAGCAGTAGAACAGAGTGTGCGGCTGTTATTAAAATATTGCGTAAGGTCAGGACTTCAGTGTCAATGGAAAATACTTTTTACAGTTTCTCTTTTTAACGCCACTTTGAAAAATCTTATCAAATTCACATCATTAAATAAAAGAAAATGTTTTCAAACCCAGCAAAGATGACAATTTCTCAGTTTCATATTCAACTTAGGGCAGAATAGAACATTTCAAACCATGTTGTAATTTTTTCACAAAATAAAAAGAGTCATCAGATTATAAGGACAAACAATTATCAGGGATCAGTGGGATATATAGGGGCAATTACTGTCAAAGGACATGAGATAAATGAGATGAGGAACCTCATAGACAAAACGCAACTTGGAATGTTTTACCTACCTTGCTTGTTTTACCTGGCCACTACTGTGAGGACATCACATTTACAGTATTATATGCACATTTTATTTGACTGTTTTGACCGAACTGTGTGGCAAACATTTTAATATTTGCAATTTAATAAAAAGTCTCAGCTGCAAATGAAACAATCCCTCGCCTCGGACAGTGTTTCTTCATTTTGTACTTTTTGGCCAGGCGTTTGAATACATTTTTTCAGTATGGAAATATTGGTGAAAGGGGCCCATTGTCTTCAGCTGTGTCTTCCATCTGGTATATATTGTGCAGTGGCAGTGTGCAGCGGCAGCAGCAGTGACTGACTGACTCTCTCCTCATCAAACTGATAGGGGGTGCTCTAAGGCTGCCTGACTTAACTCACACTTGATAAGGCAGAGTAGCAGGACTGTCAATGGGTGAATGTAGCTCTGTGTGTGTGTGTGTGTGAGAGAGAGAGAGAGAGAGAAAGAGGGAGAGAGAGAGAAATAAAGTATGGTATCGTGTTAGACAGCTGGGGTTCATTGCTATCATCACGCCTTCTCAAAGATGGCATGTTTGACAGTGTGTCTGCTATGCTCCTTAACTATCGAGCATGTTCCTCTCACATAGGAGTTTATACAGAAGAATTAGACACTGTCTGTCACGACGATAGGCTACATTAGAGTGTTTTTCTTTCGTGTGTTCGTTTTCATTTCTGTGTGTTTGTGTCCACGGTTGATTTTTTTTTTTTTTTATGCATTCCATGTTTAGTTCCTTCTTGCACCTGGGTTTTTCTCACACAGGTGAGCCTCGGGATAGATGAGTGAGCGGGTTTCAGAGAGGGGTGTGGTTTTTAGAAGATGTCCGTCTGATATTTGAGTGGCATAGTGACAGTGCCAACGCCTGCTAATTTACCGGCTTCTGTCCCCAGGCCATGTTACTCAACCAGAGGTTAACAAACAGGCCCTACTCTATTCATCTCTGCCTCTCACAGGGCGAAAGTCAGGTTCAAATGCCCAGGTGTCTGTCATCTTCTTGACTTGATGCTGTCTTTTCCTCATTTACAACACATGAAGATCTGGTGCCACCTGTCTTGTTTTTGGTGTTAAAAAACGAGAGCACGCCACATTGTTAGCAGAGATCCCCTGCTATAGTCCCACTTATATGCATTGCACATATACCCACATGCATGCGTGCACACAGTTACATGGCTTGTGTGAAGACTCTGGAACATTGCTTCATGTGAATTATGGTCACAAGCTGTGAACTGTAGGTAAATATGTGTTTGTGTCCCGTCTTTGCCGCCAAAGATTATGAGATGGAAATTATTTGGCAGGCATCCAGGAACCCATCTCCATTTAGAGAAAAGATATTTGGCATCGGATCATCACTCCAGGGCGAAGTGAGTGGACTGGAACGTGTGTGGGTGGGTGGTTGGGTATGGGGAAGGGGGGGAAGGTGTGTGGTGGGGGGGGATTCATATTTGCGAAGAAATGTTTGAAATAATAAAAATTGCTAATATTCTGCCCGGAACTCTTAACAGTTATGGCTGGGAATTTAGAAGAGCAACGCCTCCCTGACAGTTTGAGATGGCTGATAAGAGAGTTTAGGATCTCTGCTGTGATAACTACACACCAGGACACAGGCACACACAAACCAGCGCACACCCTCTTTGTCTAATCTTTGCAATTATTAGGGTATCATGTTTGGAGAAAGAGAGAGAAGAGAGGCAAAGGGAAGGAAGGAGGGGTGGGTAATGCGGGTGCTAGAAGTGGAAGAGCAGCAGAGACAGGCAGGCGCTGCTATGCTCTTCTCCCAGGCATCAACACCTCTCTCTGACGCCCCTAGAGTCTCTGGAGCTTCAGGTTTCCTCCAGGCTTTTTAGAAGAGGACACATTTTCATAATGGTACATCGGGGGTAGTGTTAAAAAAATGGAGGTTGTCCATGAGGGATTTACGTGAAGCTGTGGGACTCAGTCTAAGCCATAGGGGAGGAGGGGGGAGAAGAATGTGTAATGGTTATTAATGACTGTGTCAGATCTGTGAAGAATGAGATTTACTCTCTTAACAGGACCCCGGGTTTGGCTTTATAGATTTTCTGTCTGTGGAGAATACAGTGTTCAAACTCACCTGTGTGCTGTTCCATTCATGCACACATACACACACACGCTTAGACATCTTACTGTTTTTTTTTTCTTTCTCGTTTTTCTTTTCTATGTCTTATGATACTGTGATACACACAAACATGAACACACACACGCGCGCGCTGTTGGATGTGGCCTCCGTTACGCTACACTTTGTTCTGCACAAGCTGGGGCTCCCACGTGGTGAAGGCAGCCGTCTAGCTATGACAGCTAAGTGCAGCGAAGGCCCTCACCGGAAACCCAGCTTGCACTGTGAGATGAATAGCTTCCTGGCCACACAAACACACACACTTAAACACAAATAGAAGCACAGACACACATACAGTGTATGTGCTCGGTCCCACCCACGCAGATCTCTCACGGATAAGCTGTGCAGGTGTTTGTCTCGGCGCAGTAGCTTTAGAGGGGAGTTATTTTATGCCATGAAAGTGACACAATTGTAAATGTAATGATAATCTTGTGTGGGAGGGAGAGATGGCTTTTATCAGGTAATGTTATCAGGAATACCTAAACCTCACTGTGTATTTTTTTCTCTTCCTGTGTTAAAAAGAGAAACACAAGTGATTTACATTTGTCTTCCTCCTCTCCCCTTTTCTGCAGCAGAGGCCAATCATGATTCAGGGGCGGGATCTCCATCTCCGGCACCGTCCACCCCCAGCCCTCAGAGGGTGGGACCCGGGGAGCATGACCTGCTGACCTGTGGCCAGTGCCAGACCAACTTCCCTCTGGGTGATATCCTGGTTTTCATCGAGCACAAGCGCCGTCTGTGCCGGGGGCCAAGAAGTGGACCGGGGTCCTTCTCCAAGCCTGGGGAGAACGGCGGGGTCACGGGCATTTCCATCTCTCCCAGGGCCAGGTCACTGGAGCTGGGTAGAGGGTCCATTCCGGTGGAGGTGGGTGTCCAGGTGACCCCCAGCGGGGAGGAGGATGTGCAGAGGAGGCTGACGCCGGCCAGGGGGATCTGCCCCAAACAGGAGAGAGGAGGTACGGAGACCGGAACACACTGTACATTTAAAGGAGGATGCAAGAAGAAACATAAAGCAGCTCAACGAGAGCTCTCTTGTCAGTATAGATGCACATGTTTTGCACATCTGCAAAAACACATGCACACACTCACATTCACATGCATACATCTCTCACCTGTCCAAGACAGATAGCTCTCTTTAAAGAATCCCAGCTGCTTGTTATTTTGACAGTGGCCTTCAGGAGGGATTAATGTAGCCTGGGATGATTTCATTAGAGTGAGTGAGAGCTGCACTGTATGTCTATTCTGCTCCGTAAAAGTAAAACATCACACACACACACACACACACACACACACACACACACACACACACACACACACACGCACAAAAAAAATCACACACACCAAACAAACACACACTGGCAGGCCTGAAGGACTTCTTCAGCTGAAACCAATTGTGAAAGGCGAGGAAGAAGGTGATAGAGGAGCCACCCCCAGTGTGTGTGTGTGTGTGTGTGTGTGTGTGTGTGTGTTTGTCTTTTTTTCTTTCCTTTTTTTGCTTGTGTGAGTGCACGTCACGTGTCTGAGCGTTTGTAAAGAAATCCTGCAGCATGTGAAAAAAAAAGAGGTTAAGAAAGCTGATTAAAATTCATCTGTGTGCGTGGTGAGGAGAAGGGGATTAATAAAGCAGCAAGGCCGTTCATCTGGCTATGGAGGGGGGGAGAGGCTGTAGACTGCCAGCGCTGCAGGGAAACCAGTTCAAAGTTATCAGAGGAGACAGTCACCATCACACCCAAGAGCTGGGAAGGCTATCCAGGATTACACAGACTCCAGTAGACTAAGAGGGACTTGGTTAGAAGAGGGAGACGGCTGTATTGTGGAAGTTACCAGCCAGAATTACATGTAAAACGATATATATAGTTAACAGATAGACAGGTCACCACAGGACCATCACCAAATTGGCATGTTATATAGAGACTTAAATAGAAAAGGGTAGACTTTTACAATGCATTATATTGTGTGTATGTGCATGTCATATAAAGTCTTTTGAAATATTGGAGTCTTAAAAAAAAAGTCTTTAAAAGAGTAGTCCTTAAAAAATGAATGGCATAGGACAGTAAACATTGTACAGTCACACTGACTGAGATATGCTGGATTATAGTGCACACATCTCACAGAGTTGGATTTATGACAGAAATTGTAATAATGTTCTAATTAGTAAAAATGCTCTTTCACCACTGCCACCACACATCTAAATTAACGGAGGATTATACAAGTTTATGATATATTTACACAAGCAGTGGTGGTCTAGGAGAATTTATGTAAAAGGTGTGAATGTAGATTTTATGTAGATGTCATGTCATCAGGCTGTGGTTGTTCCTGTTCACAGCAGGTGCACAATTTTTTTTTTGCATTTGTGGTAGAAATCTACAGTAGTAGTTAAAAGTAGTTAATACTTGTGTATTAGTAGACTTTTAAATTGAGTTTAGTTTAAATTTAGTTTTGTATGTCACACATGCATTGACTTTTCACTGCAGGATTCTTTAAGCTGGTCTGTGATTGTAGATTTGCACACATTTTGTTTTCAAGCTGGTGTATTCATCTTTTGTCATCACCTCAGAGCTCAGCACATATGCACTGTTTCTGTGTGTGGCCAGCAGCTGTGTGTGGTCACCATCTTTTGCAGTGGGAAACTTGAATGAGAACACAAACAATATGTGACAGCAGAGTTTTGCTTGTCACGGCTAATTTTAAAAAAAATGAAAACCGTGAGAATTTTGAAAGTAATTTCAAACATTTAAGATTGTAATAGGACTTTGTTTAGTTATTCTGTTATACTTTGGAAATTTTATGAGCATTAAACAGCTTTTTGCTGTAACCCACCTAGGAGCCTTGCTGCAGCAGAAAAAACAACAACATGGAACTGATTTGGAAGCTGAAAAAAAAGCATTTTACATTTTGTCTGTTAGGTGGTCAGAGGGAAAACATTTAGGCAGAGTCAATGAGTGAGTCAGCCTGTTAGAGCGGCAGTCAGTTAGTCAGAGAGACAGTCTTATCACTAAGAGAACAGGACATGAAAGCACTCGAAGCTCCAAATGAAAGAGAGGAGGAGAGCTTTGTTCAACACATTAGATTGCCACTCAAGGCAGTCTCAAGTTTCAACCAAATTAGATTACATTATTAGCTCTAATTAAGTCCAATGTGTTAGCAGCACATACACTCACAGGCGCACACACACACACACACACACACACAGACACAGACACACACACACACAGACACACACACACACACACACACACACACACACACACACACACACACACTAGGAAATATCAACACTTCAAATGCAGCCACAGCACACACAAATATTTGCAGCACAGGTGACAAAATAGACGTAAGAAAATGAGAATATGTATCAAACATAACACAAACCTGCGCACACACACGTACAGAAATGCTCATGCACCCATAATGTACTGCTCTTGCGTGCATGAAATACTTGTGCTGTATGCTTAACCCTTAACCCTCTCCTCTCCTGGATTGTTTTTTTTTTTCTTCACCTGGTTGTGTTTTGTAACATCCTGTCTGGCCTCTTTGTCTGTCAGCCTGCTTGCTCAAACTGCAAACATGCTGCAAGGCCAGCAGATTCAACCCCAAAAGGTGCAAACATACACGCATGCACATGCGCACTCTCTGGTGCACATGGTGTAGATGAAAAATGGCCCTTCTGTGTCCTACTTCTTTTTTTCCTTGAGTTTCTCTTGCTGATGCATGCACTCTGTGTGTGTATATGTGAGGGCTTTGTGAGAGTATGTTAAATATGTGTGCTTGTGTGTGCCTTGTATGAATTTGTGTATGTGTGTGTGCGGTGTCTGTGAGGAATGATGCGTGTCACCAGGCAAGCGAGAGGTTGTCGCTAGGGGAGGTTTACCACGCTAAGACGACCCTGGCCCTGCTTTGAACCCCTCCCAGGACAGCTGCCTGGCCCCCTTGGAGCACTTTAAGACATCCAGTACATAAGGGCGAAGTCACATCATGGCAACCTCTCTCTCTCTTTCTCGCTCTCTCTCTCTCTCTGTCTGTCTGTCTCGTTCTTTCTCACTCACAAACACTGTGTATAGACATCACACGGTAAATATTTCATGAGCCCATGTGAACGACAGCGACATCCTCTAACATCGCTCTCTCTTTTTCTCTGTCCACCTCTCCTCTCCCTGCTGTCACATTTGTGGGTACGTCACTATATTAGGCTGAACATTTAGCACTGGTTTGTCGTTTTTTTTTGGGTGTGAAGCTACTTGCAAGCTCAATGTGATACCGATACTGCTGCTCTGAACTGAACCAAAGTGGCACTGGATTTATGATCAAAGAATTTAAATGAGATACTCGCCACTTTAGAACTGTCACACCTACATGTGCAACATTTCTGCGGGTGTGAAAGTGTGTTAAAGTGCGCAGGAGCATTTTAACGTGAGAAGACCAGTATTTGTTCATGAGCTAATGAGCAACAAGGGATTTTTTTAAATGACTGATGGTGGTTTCTGGATGAAAACATGTGGTATGACCTACAAAAACGTATCAAAAGCAACAATGACCTTTGGGCCCAAAGAGGACTAATCTGTAATGTTTGACACTTGTTTCACTTCTGCTGTCACCAAATAACTGTGACATTCCAGTTTCCACATCTCACCACCGATGTGGGTTTGAAGGTGTCTCTCTCCTCTCCTCTCTTCTTCCCTCTCTCTGTTTCTCACCCATGTTTTTTTTTCCTTTTTGCCCCACCACCCAATGCTCCTTTAATCACCTGGCTTGCTCTCATTTCCATATTAAATAGGCTTTAATCATGAAAAGCAATCAGGCTTTTGCATATTCATACCTTCCCCTGTACGCCGGCTTCCCTGTCTCGCTCCAGTGCCAAGCAGCCAGTAATCAGTAGGCAGGCGGCGTAATGCCATAGCCCCGGCCCATCGCATGAAAACACACACACTGTGTGAGTTAGAAATAACTTCACATGCTACTTACGCATTATCTCTACTCCAGGAGAGAGAGAGAGAGAGAGAGAGAGAGAGAGGGGTAAGAGATAAAAAAAGAAAGATGGCGAGACTGATCCCTGATTTGAGCTGCGAATATTTGTACAGAGGCTCAAGGAAAAGTCAATTTGCATAATGACTTTGTAGTTTTGCATTAATCACATTTGCATATGAAAATGCGTTAATTACTCCTGATGATTTTTTTTTAAACTTGCTTCATTTGATGTCCAAGCTCTGGGGTTGTGATTAGGGGTTACATGGTGGCAGTTGTGTAGGTGGTGTGTGTACACTTGTGTGTGTGCCAAGCAAGTGTGACTCATGTGTGTTCATGCTTTTGCATTTCTGGTGCAGTCTGTGTGTGTTTATGTGCTCTTACATGAGTGTTCTGAATGCTTGCCAGGGAATTTATCTTGTGTCTGCTGTTAGTCGTGTGTGTCTATTTTCATTTTCTCATTTGTGTGAGTGTGCTTCCCCGTTTCTGTGAGTGGCAAATATTTCCTTATTCCTCTGTGGGAAAAAAAAAGAGTACACTCCTTCCTCAATTTAAATACACAACTTAAAAAAAAAAATAACTTGAAGACACGCTCATTCATGATACAGTATCGCCTTCTCATGTGTTTTTTTTTTGTACTTTCAAGCTGCAGTAGAGGAAAAAGAAAAAGAGAAAGTGACAGACAAGCTCTAGTGATATTAGAGGTATTTAAAAGAAGAATATATTTCATAATGTCAACATTATACAGATTACTGGACTAGACAATACCATTCCTTGGAAATAGAATAGAGGATGGTCCTTTTAGAGGTTTAAATTTAAATGCTTTTTTCCACAGCAACACAAGTGAAGGCTGAATTTTATTTTTGATACATTTTCATGCAGTTCAAAAATAATTAACTGAATACAAAATCCAAGACACATCTTATACACAATACAAAAACTGAAGTGTTCATTTGCAAAAACAGATAAGTGCCATTCATAAAATGAATAAACC